CTCAGACAAATATGTCATGACAAGTCCCTTCGCTGGCACATTGCGGACACACTTTCACATCGCTGACCACCTTGGGTTAAATACACTTGGCCCATTTCCCTGGCATCAATCTTATACTGTTCTGTCTTCAACTATGGATAGGCATCTCGGTCACAAGCACAATAAGGAGGGCCACCCACCCCTGTCATTGTTGTTCTAATGATCTTTTGAAGAATTGCTGGCTTACTTTGGGTCCTAGCGCTCTTGTTGGGTGATTCCCATGCACGGTAGTGCCACATTTGTGATTGCCCAAGGGGCGTTCACATGACTCTGCGTGGGTTGCACCTTTGAGGGCTGGTGCGCCGCGGTTACGTGCTGAAGAGTGAAGTCGGTGTGAAAGAGGTGTGAAAGCCGCTGCGTGCAGAATGGGTACGGAAGGTGTTGAGGAAAGAAGCGAAGCGCCTTCGAGTTCAACCGATAGCAGCAGTTTGCGTATCAGTTTGCGAGCCGTGACCTTATCAGAGGCGAAAGGACGGGAGGTGAAATCGAACCAAAGGCGGGCACACAACACGTGCAAGATCAGAGTTCGTGAGATCGAAAGGTAGAATAGCCGAAAAAGTCGTCTGGCGCCACTTCGGCGGCTTACTGGACAAAGTGCTGGTCACTGATGGTGCATTCGCAGTGTCTTTTGAATATGCCTATTGGAATTGACCCATTAATGAAGCCCTACCGGAAGATGGTGAAATGAAATGGTAACAGAAAGCCTTGGCGTGAAAGGGAACGCGCCGTGGTCTTTTCGGCCTTCCGAAAAGCTTCTATATGGTCAATATAATCACAGGTTAACTCCAGGGCCTCTATGTCCGCTTCACTTGCTTCAGCAGTCAGTACTGATCAATTTGAAGATCAGTTGAAGGTAAATATCGAAAAGAAGTCCTACCGATACCAGGCAATTACTGGCTGTGAAATGGGACTCAATTAAATGCTAAACCCAAGGTGTTCTCTCTCTCTGGGGTTAAAAAAGACCGCCTCCCGATGGCATTCTGCATCAGCCCTTCGCCATCATCAGAGAGCGACAGGGTGGCTGATTCGGGAAGTTGGTGACAATTCATGACCCGGTTCACAGCACCTCCAAATATCACTCTTCAACACAGCGCCAGAAATTTATCACAACGGAACAGGAAATGGAGGTCAGACGACCTGTCAGGCCACAGACAAGGGACATGTCTGATGATCTGGTAAGGTGTAAAGTAGGCGGACCTTTGCCGATAGTGCGGTCTATTTTTGGTAACCATTG